TCAATACAATATAATATATAATATATTATAAAATTATAATTATATTATAATTACATTATCATATTATTAAAATAATTATAATATTATTATAATATCTTATAATATGATAAAATAATAATATTAGACTTATTAATATAGTTATGATATTATTTGTTACAATATTACTATTGTATTATATTACGAGTCTGAATTTTAGATTCGAAAGATTGTAAATTTTAAATTTCATTAGGGGTATTATGGGTATTATGAAAGTTTAATTAAATGTACTATGTTGATTCCCGCATAATCTAAAAGCTAAAGTTGTCTTTAGGGTGCTTCTCATTTTGGCTGTAGATTCTTAAAAAAATTCTTCAAAAAGCACTTTTGAAGAGATTTACCAAACACCAAAATCAGCTTCTGCTACAAGCATAAGCTAATTTTGAGATGAAAAAATAATATCAAACTAAGCCAAAGTAAATGGGACGCTGTTTTTGTTAGGTACCCATTTATCAAATAAAAAATAAATAAATATTCGCATCATTTGTTTTCCATCGGTATTATAGATTTTTAACCGAATTTAATTAAACAGAACTGTCTTAATCACTAAAATTTTAAAAATTGCCCAAATAGCTTCGTAAAATTATTAAAATAAAAGCCGTGTTTAGAATTGATCATGTTTTTCGAGAAAGAAAAAATGAAAACGTTTCTAAAATGACGTTTGGCGCAATAAAGACAAAAAACATAAATGAAAACGATTTTTTGGTTTAGTATAAAATGATAGAGAAATGAAAAATGAATTTTAATCGTTTTTCATTTCTTGTTTTTATTTTTTTCTCTCTCGAGCAGAGAGAGAGAAAGATAAACATTAATAAATTTTTTTACACTGAAAATAATCTCTTGATAAAACTACCAAACGTATTTTCAAAAATAATTTATGTCTGAAATTGAAAATATTTTTCATTTTCATTCTTATACAAAAAATAAAATTAAACGCGCCAAAAGTTTTAGCCTATACAACATGCATAAAATGATGATTTCCCCCCTTTAAACGTTATACAACCAACGTATTCCTAAAGGCCGATTTGCTTTTTACTAATTTTTTTTTCCTTTTTTTTACGTCTAAGTACTTTCTCTAATGATAATTTTTCAAGTCTACTGTATTTTTTTCTAAAAAGGAAAAAGAAAAAGAAAAAAAAGAGAAATCTATTTAGTATTTTGGCCTTCATTTTGTCTACGTTTTGCATTAGACATTTGTTTTTCCTCTTTCACGTTTTATCTTTTATTTGATTTTATAATAATCAACTGTAGATGTTTTCCCTGCATTTTAAGTATGAAGTGACTTCGATTGAAGTCTGAAAAGTGAAAAGTTGTTATTCATAATCATAAGTTATGACGTTATGTTTTGCTAATGGTATTTTACACGTTTGCCTTCTTAACTTGTATGATTTTAATAATTTGTTTATTAAACTTTTAATTTTAACAACTTATCCTATTAATTTATAAAATTATTATATTATGCCCAATTTTGATGATGATTGCGTTAAATTAGTATCAAAAAATCATGTTTGACAGAGAATTTCAACATCTGAATGCAAATATAACATAAATATTTAATTTTCTCAATTTTAATCCCTCAAAAATAAAAATTTTGAGCAAATTTAGTAAAATGAGATCTATTACAATAATTTTACAAGTTTAAGAAGTTGATTGTCAAAATTAAATGTTCAGGGAGTAATTTACTAAAGCACGACAAGTTCAGGGAGCAATTGTGCAAACAAATCTTTTTGCAAAATAATGAAATAATTTGTTATTTTCTTTGATATTTCGTAATATTTTTCTCTTTTACTTTAAGGATGTATTTTGAGGGCTTATAGTTGGACTTGTAAAAATGATGTATTGTCGGTTACAAAATGAAAAGAATCCAAAGCCTAATGCGGAATGTGAATGAAAGGTAAATCACAATTCTTAACAGAAATTTAAAAAAAAAAAATGATAGGTTTAAGAAGATAATTGCAAGAGAGAATAAAGTAACTAAATTAAAATAAAAAAAAAAACATTTGATGGAAATCAAATTTTCTCACGGGAATACGTTGGTTTTACAAATTTGACGGATAAAATCATGATTTTACGCATTTTTAACCATTATCTTGTAATCATTTTAAAGAGGGAATTTGGGTGTCTTTAAAAATTTAGATGATCAAGTAGTGTTACTGTTGTGTAATTAACTTAGCCAGCCTAGTCGTGCATCCATGCTATATCCGGTTTAAGGAGTCATTTTTTTGCCGTGACTTCTCCTCTCCACAATCCTTGACCTTTTTTTTAAAAAAAAAATAATAACACACAACAAAAACCCCTTGAGAAAAGTGACAACACAACCAACCACCAAGGCACAAGGAAGGTGGTCATTGTGCCGTGACTTATGTGACTTGACTTTGAACCTTTTTTTTTCCCCCCCTAACTTTGGACATAATACTTATAGTTCGAGTATGCTATTGATCACGCAGGCCTCCAATGCTCAAATCTGAATTGTGCTTGTACTCGCTTCTTTTCGATAGTTGACAATACTTAGGGGATGTTTAGTTGGAGGATTCAAATTATGATTTGAATTATGATTCATGATTTGTTACAGTGTTTTATCTCACAAAAAATACACGTAAATTGAAAATAATTCTAATCACATGATTCTAATCCATGAACCAAACGTCTCCTTAGTCAATTCAACGACTTGTCGTTGGTCATACTGCGTAAAATAGCTTTTAACTGTTCAATTTTAATAACTTTTTGGCTTCTACTTCTATTTTTTGTTTTTTGGTTGAGCTTTTGAGGAAAAATGTTATCATCACTTAATCTGTCACTCTCTTTATTACTTTCTGTATTTGAGAGACGTTTGGTTCATAAATTAAAATAATGAGATTAGAATTATTTTTCATTTACGTGTATTTTTTGTGAGAGAAAATACTGTAACGAACCATGAACTATGATTCGAATCAAACGTCACCGTAGTGTTTGACATGTAAACTCTACTATCTCATTTTTTGTTTAAATAATAATATATTATGTTAGTAAAGTTCAGGTGTAAAACTGTAAATGGAGAGAGTAACAAAGAAAGTGACAGAAAAAATAATACTCGTATTTCTCATCATTGAGATTCCATCTAAGAAACTGGAATTAAAATCTTTGTATTCATCAAAGTGGGAATGAATGGAGATTGGAGATAGATTATGGAATGGAACCACACAACAAAAAAAAAAAAAAAAAAAAAAAAAGGGACTTCTGCAATTGCCAAGAGATATCAAACAAGAACAATAAATGATGAAAAACAAGAAATTATGGACAACCAGCCGTTATGTGTTTTTATGTTTGCATGCAAAGGTCATTTTGATATATTTTATTCCATCACTTGGATAAAGACCCCCGACGTGAAAGTGGTATTTTAACAGCCTCCTTGGGGAACATTAGTTGGCTTTGCTCGTTCTTTTGCCAGCCAGATTCATGAACACATATCCCCCGCGCATTCCTATGGAAACCTACCTACCTGTGATAATGTGATTCCGTTAATTAATATGAATATACTTTGAACCAATCAAAGCCTCATTTAAATCCTCATAAGTCATATCCATACGAAGTTTGCATTTTCTCCCTCTCGAGAACCATCAAATATGCATTCTTTGCATATTTATTAAGATTCAAGAGGCTTCAAATGCATAAATATCAGTCTGATTATTTTTATTAACTTTTTTCATTTTAAAAGTTCGAAGTGCCAAAATTCTTTGTTCATCTTATTGCAAGGAATTTGGTTACCCCATGAAAGTGACGTCAATGATGATGCGACCCCACTCGGCTACAATTCCAAAAGCAAGTTGGCGCACTTAGGCTCCCAATCGCTCTCATACAGTCTAATTATCGTTAATCCATCTGCAATTAAAAAAGGCACATAAAATAAACTTCACGCAACAGCAACTCCTAGAAGATTTACACCCAAAAAAAGGAAAAAAAAAATAGAAATCCTAGAAAATTGTGAGCATATCCGGGATTTTTTTATTATTATTATTTTTGTTATTTATTTGCTAAGAAAATCGGTTGGTGAATCAATCTCACAATTAATACGTGGCCCACAGAGAATGGGAGGATGACTGTCTACGTGGCTCATATTAATAACCAGGACACAACTTTGTCCGTCTATCACCTTCCATCAATAGAAAGTCTACCCACCAGTCTCTGTCGTCAGAACATGTCAAACGACGACGTCGTTTCTGTAGACCAAACAGAAAAACAAAATTGTAAAGAAGAAATCAGAAAATATATGGAGTAGTTTGGTACAGCCACGTATTTTTCACAATGTAAGGCAAATAGGATAAATACACGTGGCACAATGGGATTGCCAAAAACGGTATACACATACGACAACAAAGTGGGGAGATATTGGATACTACCTGCCACCTTCACTTTCCCCTTTCGACAAACACCAAAAAGCTGTAGATAAAGTTTCAGTAACAAAAACGCCAGGAGATCAGAGGCGACCCCGTTTTTGTAATTTCAGCTCCATAATTAAGGCCAGAAACATTCCCAAGAAAATCAAAAGGGCATTAAATTACAGTCTTTCCGTTTCTTTTCGTCACTTTTGCGGCAAGTACACGCACAATCCCTTTGCTTCTCTTCTAACCAAACCAAAGCCTATTATTCTCAATTCCCTTAAATAGCCCCAGCCCATCGTAACGGAAGCCAAGGCCACTGCTGTAATTGCTGTAAGCTTTGGACTGAGACCACACATGGCGGTTTCTGACGCAGTCGTCGGGAACTTGACGACGATCTACGTGGCAATAATCGCAGGGATCAAGGCGTATGGGCTGGTCGTCGGCCGGAGCTTCGGCGGCGGATTTGTGCTTGTTGCGTCGACGATCCTGGTGGGACTCATTCTGATTGGGACGCTGACGTGGGACGTCTCACGCAAGGCCACGTATGCCGTATCACGTGATCATCACGTCCACGTCAATCATGAGATGTGCAAGGGTGGCATCTGTTGGCACGGCGTGGCCGTCCGATCGCCGGCTTCTCAGGTTCGGTTCAGGCTCCCCCAGCAACTCCCCTCCGGTCCTTTGTGAAGTGAGGCGGTTAAAAGTAGGAATTGTAGAATAATGGAAAGGTTTTGGCTTTATTAATACTGTAAGATATATAGAATCTCTCCTTTTGTTTAACTTCAGTTGGCTTTGCCTGTCGGAGCCACGAGGTGTTTGCTTTTTGGACTGAGAGGAATAAGTATCAAGTGTGTGTAAATAAATCAATAACCAAGTGTACACAATATGGGTTTTGTTTTTGTCTACAAAGAGTGCTCTGTTTTTTTCCTTCAACCGTCGTATACGGTTCATACTTTGTCACAGCATTGCGTGAGGAAGCAAAGCAATCAAAGGAAGACGGAGTAAATGATAGAGAGAGAGAGAGAGAGTTTTCGTCTTTGGGACGGATAACTGTAGTCCCCGAATTGCTTGGTCAGGAAGTGCAAAGATAGTTTTTAGTTATTCCAAATGTATAATTGACTAAATTAATAGAGAAAAGTATGTCTACTTTGATTTTAAATGTGTACGTTTAGTTTCAAATTGGTTCTCCATAAGTAATCAACCTTTTCTAATTACTTAATGCTATGTATGACCTAATTGCAACGATATATATATATATATATATATATTTTTTTTTTTTCTTTTCTTTTCCGCCCCAAGGGAAAAGTCAAAAATGCGTATCACTTGGTACAAATTGTCGTTTTTAACATAGAAATTAGAATAACACTCGGATGAATTGTTCTATATGCGGGTATTTTCTCCCTTTGATGAATTGTTTGGAAATATTTGAATATATTATAGCGAGACAACTTGATAAATCCAAATTCACTTCATGCATGTCCGCCTACAATACCATTTGCATTCTTCTGTTTTAGAGTTCTATTCGGTTTTCTGGTTATGCACGTACCAGGAATGCATACCTTAGTATACCAATGAACTAATTGATTTCTCATTTGTAAAGTTAATTAATACGATTACCTTTTTTATTTATATCATCATAATTTAACGGCAAAATCTTAAGTCCGACACCCCTACATTCCGAAAAAATATAACTTTTTTTTTTTTGTATTATTGTGTTACATTGTTCATACGTGTGTATAACATTCAGTTTGCTTAAGTATATAATACTCAATTTTACATATATTGGACCATATTTTTTGAATGTTTTTTTTTATGGACATCCCTTCAACTTTTCGAATTTAGCAATTTAGTCTTTTTTTCGGGCAATTGACCCCTTCAACTTTTAAATCTTTACACTTAAAGTTCAATCGAAAATGGTGTCTGTTTTTTTATGATTTTGATCACGCAGTGCGCACATAAGCATTTGTTGAGGCAAAATGAAGGCCATTTCTCACTTTATTTGTTTGGTTATATTGATTTCAAAGTCATATAATATGTCCGAACATAATCAGTTGAGATAAACAACTCTAGGTTTTTAAGGGTTAGTGCCATCAACATATGCTTTAAGGGTGAGAAATGACTTTTATTACCCTCAATAGATGCTAATATGCGCGTCACATGATCAGAACTATCAAAAAATCAGACGCCATATTATATTGGACCTTCATTGTAAATATTTAAAAGTTGAAGGTGTTAATTGCAAAAAAATAATAAAGATCAAATTGTGAAATTCGAAATGTTAAGAGAGTGTCCATATAAAAAAGTATTTTTTGAATGTTATACTTAAGCAAACTGAGTGTTACACACACGAAGAATGATGTTACATGAGAATACAAAAAGTTATATCTACCGGATGCCAGACTTAAGATATTTCTTAATTTAATAATAAAAATGCAGACACATATCATAACATATAACTAAGAACTTCTTGTACAAAAAAACATGAGGATGTTTCAAATGAATCCAGATCATCTGTCTAATTTTTGGGGTCTTAATTAGTGTATAACTAATCATATCATGTCATATTATCATTAGATTTGTATTAAAAATTATTTATTTTACATATTTTTTTCAATCTGATGTGATTTTAACTTAATTTAATAATTATAAATTAACACTAACGATAAGACTGACATACTAGAAAAACTCTCAAAAATGAATTATTAATTAGACGCAAGGTTTGCTCTTTGTATGATAAAAATGATAAAGCCATGGGATTAGCCAGAAAGAAACAAAAAAAACAAAAAACAAAAAAAAAAAACTATGGGCAAGCCAGTAACACTCTATTGGCCGTGTCCGTTAAAAAAAATTCTATTGGTTGTGTCCTTATAATGTTTCATTCAAGGAAAAATAAAAGAAAATGGATGTACTCATATTAAAGATTTTATTTTATTGGGACTTTCTTTTATAGTCTTTGTAAAATAAATTATTAACAAATTTTTAGTTATTAGATTTGTATTAAAAATTATCTATTATGTATATTTTTTAATTTGAAGTGATTTTAATCAAGTTCTCGTTTATTTTACTGGTTTAATTTAGTTCAACTCAATTTGAATGGTGAACACAGTTTGAACTGACGTTTGACAATCATGTAGTTTGAATTATAATTGTCTGTTTGAACTGAGTTAGACGGCCCAATATAGAGTTTAGCTCCCCTCTCAAATTTGACCGTCCAAACCATTTCTAAACAGTAAAAAAGTGTTAATTTTCTCTGTTTTTCACACATAACAAACATAAATTTAAATTTTATTATATACTTAAATTGAAACTTTAACTATATATCTAAACATTAATTCAAATTACAATTTAAGCTATACAATTTAATTTTTTTATTTACATCAATAAAATTTAAATCAGCTTATTAAAATTTAAACCGTTTAGTTTACTGATTCGAGTTTTTAATTCGAATTTAAATGTGATTATGTGAGAACTTTTTACTGTAATTAAAAAATTAAATGTGATTATTTTTAAAATTTTTTTACTATAATAAAATTTAAAATTTAAATTTAAATTGATAAAGTGACAGAGAACACCAAAAATCGAGATTTGAGTATTGGACCATATGGTATAGTTCGGTAGAGGAGTTCGGAATTAGCCAAGATTGGAATGATTGGTAGTACTCGAAGACGAATGATGGGTCTACTCGCAATGTAACGCCTATCTAATATCCCACGTCGGATCTATCTTAGAGCTTCACGCATGTACTTCGCCAGTTTGATCGTGCGGCTCCGAATGTAGGGAATACAACCGCCTCAACAACACCTAAACAATCTACCTAAATAATGGCACCCTAGGCTAGGCTTGCAAGTCATCGAAAACCTAATCTCCCACGCTCTCCCTGCACTTTCTCCGTTCCTTCTTCTTCTCCTCGTCCTACTCGGTCATTCTCGGCTGTATCGGTCAACCCAAATCGGAAATTATGGCCGAATCCCCGTCACAGCCACCGGCACGATCCCTTTCCGAGACGGAATCCTCGCAATACTGGTGCTACCAATGCAATAAGAGCGTCTCCATCGAAACCCTAGCCAATCTTCCAGATGTCGTCTGCTACGAATGCAAGAGCGGCTTCGTCGAGTGCATCCCAGCTCCGGCGCAGCCAACGGCGGAGACCGCTTCGGGGTTCACGGACCCAGTAGAGGATCCGAATTTCGGTTTCCAATTCCTCCAGGTGCTGAGGCTAATCGCCCAGGCTGCGAGTGACGAAGACGCGCCGCCCCTGCCGCCGCCTCAGAGTCCTCCCGAGGATGACTTTCTCAGGATTGAGCTCGATGGGTGGGAAAACGATGAGGACGGCGACGATGATTATCCGAACGGGGCTGAGTTCCATCACGGAGGAGAGGAGGACAACGAAGCCGATCAAGACGGCGATCGATCGGACAACGAGGACAGAGATAATCGCGACGAGCAAGACAGGGATGAAGAAGAGGTTCGGAGAAGGCGTCACGAGGTGCTTCGTCTCCGGATCCGGGACTTCGTGACCCGCGGAAGGAGCGGCAGGAACCGGATCCTCGATAGGGCGGAGATCTTAATGGGATTGGACGAAAACTCGATCGAATTCCGTCTCGAAGTGCCTGAATCGGACCGGTATATCGGCAATCCCGAGGATTACGTGGACGCGGCTGGGTACGAGGCGCTGCTTCAGACTTTGGCGGAGAGCGACGGCGGCGGAAGAAGAGGAGCTCCGCCGGCGGCGAAATCGGCCGTGATGGAGTTGCCGACAGTGGAGGTCGCGTCGGAAGATGATGCCTTTGCGTGCGCTGTATGCAAGGATATGGTCAATGTTGGTGAAATGGCAAAGAAATTGCTCTGTGGGCATAGGTATCACGGGGATTGCATTTTGCTGTGGCTGGGTTCGAGGAATTCGTGCCCGGTTTGTAGGTTCGAGCTGCCGACGGATGACCCCGAGTACGAGGAGCAGAGGAAGAATAAAGCCGTAAGCTCCGCCGGAGCTTCGGGTTCGAGAGGAGGTAATTTTCTCTCGGATTGAATATGGTTTGGTATGCGATTTTCCTTTTCTTTTTTTGTTGTGTTTTTTTTTTTCCTTCCTTTTCATTGTAATGTAATTTAATCTATGCACTATTTGTTTGTTTACTAGTAGCTATTAGATGAAGAAATGGAAGAAATTGAAATGTGTTTCCATTTTCCTTTGAATGTAAATAATAATAACTTAATATGGTAATGGATGGTGTTGATGGTGGTGGTGGTGGTGTTTTCCTACATCCATTCCATTATCTTGTCGATGTATAACATTATACAGTTGAGGACAGTGAATTTCACTCAAACGTAGAAGAGAGTGACTTGCAGTGTTTCTTTAAATAAATGTGTTTCATTTTGGTCGTCGTCGTTTTTATTTTGATTCAAAACATCTACTTGAAGAGGTTTGACATTCTGATTTGATCTCATTTTTCATGTTGGGCTGAATTCATGATTTTGTTGCTGTAATTGTTTTACTCTCGTTGATAATATGTTTATAGGATATGTGAAAAAGAAAAAAAAAAGGATAAATATGTTTTATATTTATAGCTGAGCCTTTATAATGGCTATTTCTTATCATCATTGTCATAGCAACCCGATGTTGAATTTACATTTAAAATCTCTATTTTTAATGAAAGAATAAGATACAATTGCTTGTTGTTGATTTGATTAGCGTCTCTGGTGATATTTGGAGAATCAACCGTGTTATTTGAAACAAGAGGGCAATTAGAATTTGGCTCATTAGGCAATCATTCTTCGTAAGAACAAATCTAGTTTTGATTACTACTATAGCTATGGAATTATATTTTAATTAGTGGATTGTCAAAACTAAAAGCAATACTGGAGATGGAGGTCACCCTTGCCCATTGAGACGATCGCTAGGATTTTTGTTTGATGTTTTTCTGTTTCTTTATCGTAATTTGTTCAAACCTATTCTTGATATTTTGACACAAGTCTGAAAGAATCACGTATTAGTTTTCTGCCCATTTAAAGTGCCTTGCTGTTTTCTGATTGACCGGTTTGGCTAACCTGTTGATGTGTTAATGGGTGTTCTAATTTCTGGCAATACTACTTCTATGGAATTTCATGAAGTGGTAAGGGACTATGTACCGTCATTTTGGTGTAGTTTTGATTGCTTATTCTCATTTCTCGATCCCCGGTGGGAGCACGAGGTTCATGTTTGTTCATAGTCATTACTTGAAAGCTTACAGGTGTAAGAGAGTCAAAGTCTTTAAATTTGACGTTGTGTTTGAAGACTGATGCCGTGTTTGATTAGAGGCATGGAAAATAGAAAGGAAGAAGAAAAAGGAGGAAGAAGGAAAATAGAAAGGAGGAAGAAGGAAAATGTCAAGGTGAGGAAAATAGAGAGTATTTTTCTTTACAATTAACAATGAGGATGTGTGATCAACTGATCATAGGCAAAATGGTTTTACAATTGAAGATTCTCTCTCTTTTTTTTTTTTTTTTCTTTCTTTCTTATTTATTTAATTATTTATTTTCAAATTCCCCCCCGTTTCTTTCCTAGGCCTTTTGAAAAAACATAGACTACGTATATTTTCTGCTCTCACCCACTACGGCTCTTTCATTCTGCCCAAAAATCATACATCTCTAATGTGGCAGTCAAATAACCGCTATTTATCCATTAGTTTTCCTAATATTCATCTATTTTTTAATTGTATTTTCATAGACACTGCCATAGCAGAAGTAGCCAAGGGTCAATATGGTATTGTTCAATTGTTGAACAATAATTAACTGTTGACGGTGAAATCTCGTCAACAGAAATAGGCCGGGTCACCTCTAGGTATCCCGTTGGATTACCGGCTTGATATTGAATGAAGTGTTTGTGGTATTTTTAGAATGGTGAGCAATATGAGAAAAAATGCTTGAAGTAGAAGAACACAAAATATATAGTGGTTCACTCTGTTAATGAAGAGTTACATCCACTGTAGTTTTATATTCTTTTTGAGATTGTTACAATTTACATCAACTGTTCTCTCATTTTTTCTCTCTCAGGAAGCGAACCTCTTTCCTGTATGGGGCTTTGTCCATTTTATATCCGAGCTTCTTTCATCGGGTGGGTCTCTTTTGTAGGCAGAAGCACTCAAGTGGTTTGTCTTTCTAGGCCCAGACCGTAGCTCACTAATCACTTTGCGAACTCTTTACTCAGCCAATTAGTCTCCTATTATGGCTCTGTGCGTACCTGTAACTCTTATCTGTCCCTCGTATGGCGGTTTAAGGATTTGTAATTAATACCTGTACTGCAGACATCCTCCATTTCTGCACGCAACTTGCGATGTCAGGCTTTTCCCTTTTGGGGCATTCCTCTCGCCGTCTCTGTTTGTTCAGCCTAGTCTTTCTTGGCAATTGATTCTCTCGAAAGATTTTCGTCGTAAGGTTGACGGTACGACCTGTCGTCGTCATGAGTAGTCAACATCCTAAGTTGGGCTTCCTTTGCAGCAGAAGGAAAGGAAGTCCCCAGCGTCGAGGGTTGTTGCCTTTTGAGGAAAAGCAAGGTCACGTGTCACACTGTTGTTCTTTCACGCGTCATCCATATTTTCCCACACAACTGCTGCCCCCCAGGTCGAGGGTTTCTTTCAGACAGCCTCGAGCTTAGGTTCGGTCGTACCTTCGTGCTTCGGGTGTGGGAACCTGATCTCGAGCCTTCGTCCGCAATGATGGTCCGAATGCTTCAGATTTTCTTAAGGAATGCAACCGTTGCATCGGTCACTTCCCTATGCTGACGTGAGGCCTCATTTCGGAAGGGTAAATGTGAGCCTTTGGATCGCGCCCCTTCATTTTCCCGCATTTGTCTGCTGTCGTCAGATCTGGGCAAGATGCCCCTACCGTTGGATTTCATGAACTTCATCCAACGGTCAGGGGTCGAGGGCTTGCTTCCCCTTAAATACCCTTCAAACCGAGGCCACTTTTCCAAAACACTTTTTAAACTGTCGTTACTCTGCTAGAATTTTTCCCTGTAAATTCCAACTTGCATTCCTTTGCACTGCTCGGTACGTTGCGAAGCCGTCTCAGTTTCAGACTTTGCCAGAATCTGATTTACCGGTAAGCCTCACCATCACCCGTTTTGTATTATTTTTATGGGCTTTCTTATTGAATCGTATGCCATAGACATGCTAATGTGAAATATAGGGGATAGAGACCTTACTGTATGCTTTGTTTACCCGCGTATGATAGTTCTTTTTCTGATTTTTTGGTTGACTGTACGCTTCTGGCCTCTAGGTTCTGATGAACCTTGGTTACCATGCATACTCATCGTTACCATTTTTACATGAATGATCGACGTCATGTCGAGGCATTTGAGCAGTCGTAGTTTAGAATGGTCGTCGCTTAGAACGTTCGTCTTTTTCCTCTTCCTCTCGACTTTAGGATTTTGACTTAGTTCCTTGTCTTTTTAATTATCAGAATAATGGCTCAAAACCCCCTTGTCGATAGGATCCTTCCGCCGTCCGACCAGACTCCTCTTCTGTGGATGAGATTTCATGGTCATCTTCTTCTCTAGGCGTCGACTCTTTGCTGAGGGAAGTAGAAGACGCTGAGGCCGTGTTTGGACCAGGCGATGACTTCGGCGATGAGTTCGGTAGTGTCGACCACATCATAGACGAAGTGGTTGACAGAATTCCCTTCACGGGTGACATCGTAAGTGGGGTTGCTGCTTCGCTGGTAGATGCCTCCCTAATTGCTATGAGTGGAGATCCGGACAGGCTTTTCTTTACGGCCGACATCGTGGCGTCGAGGGTCCGGAATAAAGACATTATCCGGGCCGTCAAAGAAGGCTGTATTGATGGGAGGTGGTTCGAATACCTCCTCCCGGATATGCATTTTAGGACTAGCATGCCTTCGACTGGATACCTCTCCGTTTATACCAGAGTTGTCACGGCGGGGGTGACCCTTCCGGTTCATCCCTTTGTAAAGGACTATTGCCATTTTTATGGCATCTCCCCTGTTCAGTTGGCGCTGAATTTTTGGTACTGCTTTGCCGGCGCCTGAATTTTGTGGAGTCAGCAGTTTGATGTTGATCTTCCGCCGGACGAGTTTAGATTCATGTACAGACTGTGTCACGTCGCAAGGTGCGAGGGGTGGTACTTTTTGAGTGGACATGAGAGATCTCAATCCAAATTCGGCAAGCTAATATTAGGTATATACTCATCGTCACATGGGTGGAAACCTATGTTTTTTATGATACGTGGGCTTTTTAATTTTTATCCCGACGACTGCTTGCCCTGCCGAAGGAAGGTGCAAGCATCGTTTGGGAACATAGGTGAGATTTTGACTTCTCTTCTTCTCCCCCCACTTTTTTTTTTATGCTGACAGCCATTTTATCCTGTAGTTAGTCAAGACCGGCCGAAACTTGCTGAGAATAGATTGGCGAGGGTTGAGTAGACTTTTTCGTTTTCGTTCGAAACTCGTCATATTGACACCCTCCTGACCAAGTCCAATCTTCGAGAAGCTGGGTTGATTCTCGATCTCCCAGACCCCACCGATCTTGACGCCGTTCGCGAATATTTTCATTTAAACGACGAAGGTAAACTCCTGATCTTGACGCCTTTCTTATTCTGGCATTGTCTATCCAAATGTCGACTATATTTTTGTCTCGTCGTTTGCACAGAAATGGCGTTTTTGAGAATTCAGCTTCCTGGTAATCAGTCGCCTCAGCCAAGCCAGCAGCCCCCGCCAAGTTAACAGCCTCCATCCAAGGAAAACGAGAAAGCCAACTCTTCTTCCCAGGTGCCGAGAAAAAGGAAAACCACAAAGGCCCCTTCGGTGTCGGAGGATAAGGTTCCTGCGCTGAAAAGGAGGCGCAAAAAGAAGACGCCGGTGACCGAAACTTGGACGCCGACAGTCCCAATTCTTGATGTTGCTAATGTTCTTCTGGTGCCAAGAGAACGCGTGCTTATCCCGGGGGCAAAAATCATAGATTTCAACTTCCAAGTCTCGGATATTTCTAATGCTGATATTGGGGCTATGCTGAAACTTTCCCCCCGTTTCTCCTTCGTCTTCTAGGCTCTATATGAGTCTTTTCTCGAGCCGCATTGGATCGCCGCCGCCCAGTCTTCGCTGGGTGATCGTCAGCGCAAGCAGATCTCCTTCCAGATTCACGTAAGCCTCGATCGAGCTGTCTTTTCTTTTTGTTGATTTCGTCCTCTGTATCTTTATTTTCTGACCTTCAATTTTTCAGGGCCTAATTCTTACCATTCTCAACCTTATTGATCTAGTCAAGGTTGAAGAACGTGATAAGGAGATGGACAACGTGGAAGCCAAGCTTAACTCTCTTCTTGACGATGCCAAGAATAAGTGCTCGTATGCTGTCGAGGAGAGGAATGTGGCCGTGGCCCAACTGAGGAGTTTGGAAGGTGAACTGGCCAAGATGTCAAACCTTCAAAAGGAGTTGGCTAATTTAACTACTGCGGTCGTGGATTTTACAAAACGGGCAAAAATCTCTGAGAAGTCAGCTGAAACTACTGAGGCGGTGAAGATGTGTTTTGCTGAAGAAAAAGCTGAGGGGAAGAAGGAAGCCGAAGCCGAGGCCGCAACAATGTTCGATGCCAAGCGTGCGGAGATCATTGAGGAGTTCAAGGCTTTTCCGGAGCTCATCGACATTCGCACCAAGGATTTTCATTCTGCTGGTCAACAAATCGTCGATATGATAAAACAAGAGCATCCTGAGTGGGATTTGAGCTTCCTTTATGTTGCTTCTCCTCCTGCTGATGATGACAATTCTTCCCCGCCTGGCGATGGCGATAACTCGGCGGCTGGCGGCGAGGCCTAAAGCTTTCATTTGTTTTTTTTTTTTTTTTTTTTTTTTTTTTGTGGACTGCTGCCTGTAATTTATATAATATTGGACTTCTATTTATATAATTGTCTTTATTGCTTTCCTTACCCCTTGGGGTCGTCGCCTTAGAAAATTTCGTAAAATTTTCTATGGTTTTTCTCGGCTCTCCTCCTTGGAAGAGTCGGCGTTAGCTTTTTGCCCCTTGGGGTCGTCGCCTTAGAAAATTTCGTAAAATTTTTTAAGTTTTTCCTCGCCTCTCCTCCTTGGAAGAGTCGGTGTTAGCTTTTGCCCCTTGGGGTTGTCGTCTTAGAAAATTTCGTAAAATTTTCTAAGTTTTTTCCCGCCTCTCCTCCTTGGAAGAGTTGGCGTTAGCTTTTGCTCCTTGGGGTTAAATTTTGTAAAATTTTCTAAGTTTTTCCTCATCTCTCCTCATTGGAAGAGTCGGCGTTAGCTTTTGCCCTTTGGGGTCGTCGTCTTAGAAATTTTTGTAAAATTTTCTAAGTTTTTCGTCTCTCCTTCTTGGAAGAGTCGGCGTTAGCTTTTGCCCCTTGGGGTCAAATTTCGTAAAACTTTCTAAGTTTTTCCTTGCCTCTCCTCCTTGGAAGAGTTGGCGTTAGCTTTTGCCCCTTGGGGTCGTCGTCTTAGAAAGTTTTTTCAGTGATCCGTAGATCCCTTACTGTCACCCTTGTCTGTTTAATATACCTTATTTTTTTAAGTAGACAAGTTTATTCGAGGGGTGAATTCTTCTTACTTTTGGACAATATTTTTAAAAACTCATCAATTTATTTAAATTGTCAAAAATATAACTAAGATATGTTTAAAAAATTACATACATTATTGGTAGTACAGCTTTAGCTGTTCTGCATTCCATGGATGCTGAATCTTCTTGCCGGAGAGGCTTTTCAAAATGTAGGTGACAGGACGCAACACTTCTCTTATTCGGTAGGGTCCTTCCCAAGTTGGGCTTAGAGGACCAATATTTTTGAGTTTTGTACTCTGTGTTACCTTTTTCAATACTAGGTCTCCTAGGATGAACCTTCGTTGTTTGACTTTTTTATTGTAATATCGTGCTGCCCTCTACTGGTAGGCGGCGAGGCGTAACTGGGAGTCGAGGCTCTTTTCTTCCAACAAGTCGAGTTCTCCATTCATGCATTCTGTATTACCGTCGTCGTTGTAGACTACAGTTCTTAGAGTCGGCGTCTCAATTTCTACAGGCAGTACTGCCTCGACGCCATATGCCATGGAGAAGGGCGTTTCGCCCGTGGTACTTCGACTCGTCGTTCTGTATGCCCATAAGACATTTCGAAGTTCCTCGTCCCATTTTCCCTTTAGATCGTCGAGCTTCTTCTTTAGGGTATACTTTAATATTTTATTGACTGCTTCGACTTGCCCATTAGATTGTGGATGTATCAGCGCCGAGAAGTCCTTTCGAATGCCCAAGCTGTCGCAGAATCTTCGTGTTGAGGCATTATCGAACTGTTTTTCATTGTCGGACACTATCAAGTGGGGGACCTCGAACCTGCACACAATGTTGTTCCACATGAAATTGGTGCAGGCTGCTTCTGTGGTTGTAGTCAGAGCCTTTGCTTCTGCCCACTTTGTACAGTAGTCTACTGCGACGATGGCAAACTTAAAGCCTCTGGGTGCAAGGTGTAATGACCCGATTAAGTCGACTCCCCATTTGGCGAAGGACCATGGATTGAGAATAGATGTTAGGTTTTCTGGCATATCTTTGGCACTTATCGCAACGTCGAGCATATTGGTATGCGTCATTCTTAAACGTGGGCCAGTAGTATCCTTGCTTTAAAATCTTAAGAGCTAAAGACTGCTCATCTGTATGATTACCGTAGACTCCTTCGTGGATTTATTGGAGGACCTTCTGGGCTTCGTTATTGTCCAAGCAACGCTGTAAAGGTGTTGAATAGCATCGGTGGTAAAGCAAACCGTCGTACAATAAGTATATGGCGGCTCTATACCTGATCCGTCTCGCATCGTATTTATTATTTTATAGTTTTGCATCCATCAGGTATTGAACGAGCGGCGTCATCTAACTTTCACCTGTTTGGATGATTAATGTCTCAATTATTTCCTCAATGGTCGGCCGCTCCAGTTCTTCAATAGGAACGACCCCTAGTGCGTCGGAGTCTTTTAAAGATGCTAGCTTTGCCAGAGCGTCGGCGTTGGTGTTTTCGGCTCGTGGTATATGAAGTATCTCGTAGTTTTTGAACTTGACGAGTTCTTTCTTTACCTTCCTCAAGTACGCACTAATTTTCTCGCCGCGCGCTTGGTATTCTTCTTTCATTTGCCCGACGATCAATTGAGAGTCGCTGAAGATGCTGAGTCTTTCAATTTTCAAGTGACTGGCCAGTCGCAGCCCCGCAATTAGCGCATCGTATTCTACCTCATTGTTCGATGCCTTAAATTTAAATCGAACCGCCGAGGTAATCTTGTGATCTTTTGAGCTGATCAACAAGACGCCGGCTCCTGACCCATTATCGCTTGACGCTCCATCCACGTAGAGCTTCCATTCTGTCCTCTCAACTTCTTCTGGTGTGGCGGGAGCCGGTTTATGAGAGAATTCAGCCAGAAAATTGGCCAACGCTTGGCCATTTGATTGCTGCTCTTGGTACATACTTAATGTCGAACTGACTTAACTCCACCGATCATTTGAGAAGTCGACCAGAAATTTCAGACTTTTGCAGCGCCTGTCTCAACGGGTGATTTGTGAGAACCCGTATTGTGTGAGATTAAAAATAATGTCGAAGCTTCCTCGAGGCTACCATCAAGGCGAGGGCAAAGCATTCCATTTCGGTATATCTTGACTCGGCGTCGATGAGTCTTTTGCTCACATAGTAGATTGGCAGCTGGACCATTTCTTCTTCTCTTATTAGCACGGTGCTCACGGCGTGTTGTGACACGGAGAGGTATAGGCTAAGCTCTTCGTCGGGGATGAGCTTTGACAGGATTGGGGGCTTGCCCAAGTGTTCCTTCAATTTCTGGAAGGTCTCTTCACATTGTGGTGTCCATTCAAAGCGCCTACTCCCTTTCAAAGCATCGAAGAAGGGGACGCATTTATCTGTCGCTTTTGATATAAATCTGTTTAGAGCGGCGACGCATCCTGTCAACCTTTGCACCTTTTTCAGTTTAGTTAGGGATCGCATATCTTGCAGGGCTTTAATCTTTTCAGGGTTAGCTTTTATCCCCCGGTTACTGACCATGAAACTAAGGAATTTTCCTGATCCAACTCCAAAGGTGCATTTTCGGGAGTTCAGTTTCATGTGGTATTTTCTCAATACACCAAACATTTTACCTAAATGGTCGACGTGTTGGGTGACCCTAGCACTTTTCACAAGCATATCATCGACGTAAGCCTCCATTGATTTTCTGAGCTGTTGAGCGAACATCTTATTCACAAGCCTTTGGTAGGTAGCCCCCGCATTCTTTAGGCCAAAATGCATTACCTTGTAGCAGTAAAGGCCTCTGTTGGTTATGAAAGATATGTGTTCCTCGTCGGCTGGATGCATGAGGATCTGGTTGTACCCGGAGTAGGCATCCATAAAACTCAGCATTTCATGTCCTGCTATGACGTCGACCATTTGGTCTATCCGAGGGAGTGAAAAACCATCCTTTGGGCAGGCTTTATTGAGGTCGCTGAAATCGACGCATGTTCTCCAACTTCCGTTAGGCTTGATTACCAATACGGGGTTTGAGACCCATCGCGGGTAATGGGCCTCCCTGATGAACCCATTGTTGATCAATTTGTCGACCTCTTCTTTTAGTGCCTCGTACCTCTCTGGGTTCATCGGTCGATGCTTCTGGCGCTTGGGGGGATATGAGGGGTCAATGTTCAGAGAATGGCATATGACCTCCGAGTCGATCCCCTCCATGTCAGCATGATTCCAGGCGAAGACATCCAGGTTTTTCTTGAGGAAGCCCTCGACCTTAACCCTAAGTGATGGGGTTAGGTCTGAGCCTACTTTTAGTACTTTGGTTGGTTCACCATTGTCGACTATGATCTCCACCAACTCCTCGACGGGTTGAGACCATGTGACATCCTCTTGGATCCTGGGATCTATGTCTTCGACGGTGCTTTGATAAACCATCCTGGCCTCCTGCCTTCCCGGCTGGTCATATCCGCGCAGGGCATCAGAGTATGCAACCCTAGCCTCGTACTGGTTGTTCTTCATTTCGCCCACGCCATTTGGGGTAGGAAATTTGACTTTTGGTGGTAAATGGAGGTGATTGCCCTCAGCGCCTGGAGGGTTGGCCTTCCAATCACGGCATTGTACTGGGAGCCCTCTCTTATTACCACAAAATTAGCCATTGTGGTGGCCTGTCGAGGTTTCTTCCCTACGGTTATGGGCAACCAGATAATCCCCTGAGGGATGACGGAGTCCCCAGTAAAGTCGTACAATGGCCTGGAGGTCTTTTCTAGCTGCTCCTTTGGAATCCCCATCTTTTCTAGGCAGTCAGAGTATAGGAGGTCTACCGAGCTCCCGTTGTCCACTAGGCTCTGGCACACAGTATGGTTCCCGATCATGGCTTTTACCACCAACGCGTCGTTGTGGTGGAAGTGAACTCCGCTGGCGTCGTCCTTATTAAACGCCACGTCGGTGCTGCTGAATTTTGGTGTTTTGGCAGCGGAGATACTCCAGAACCTTTCCTGGTAAACCCTTCTAGCCTCGTGGGCGTAGTCCTTCTGAGATCTCCTTGAGTCTCCTCCTATATAGTGGCCGCCGATGACAGTTCGTATGACGCCGACGGGTTCTCGGTCCTCTGGGCGCTGGTTCTCCTTTCGGCGTCGACCGTCATTCTGGCCGCCGTGGCCATCGTTTTTAGGTCTTCGCTCGGCTTTGAACTCCTGCAGCCTCCCATCGCGGATTACTCTCTCGATCTCATCTTTAAGATCGGCGCAATCGTTGGTGTGGTGGCCGACGTCACCGTGGAACCTGCAGTATTTTTCTGGTTCCTTCGGCTGGGGTCCGACCTCATTGACTCTGGGCGGCGCAATAGATTCCCGCGGCTGACCTGATTGAACACTTCATCGGCTCCTACTGTTAATTCATGGTAGAAATCGTACCTTTAAAACGGTCGAGGCTTACGGTTCTTCTCTTGCCTCAGCTTCTTGGCTTTTAGAGTGTTTGACGTCGAAGTGGGCTGCTTGTCCCCGCTTCCTCCACCTCGTCGCTTCTTTCCATCCTGCTTTGCGGGCGTCGACCCTTGTTCGGTCCCCTTGTTTATTGGACCTGTGCTCAGGGTCATTCGTATCCGCTTCCTCGGCGTTTATGTAGCCTTACGCTCGTGCAAGGAATTCCTTATAGATGGACGGAGGCTTTCGGTTCAGCTCTCTCTTGAAGGGGGTAATTTTCTTCATGCTAGACAATGCCCCCATCAAGGCCTCTCAGTCCGTTATGTCCATCGTGGCGGCGACAGCTTCCCCATATCTTGCAAGCCACTCTCTCAACGACTCGTTTGGCTTCTGGTATATCGTCGTCAGATTTTGCTTTGGGGGGATATATTTTTTAACCCCTATGAACTGGAGGGAAAACGCTTCCTTCAACTCATCCCAGCTTGAGATAGAGTTTGGTTTCAGCGTCCGAAACCATCTTCGGGCAGAGTCCGTTAAATGGTTCCGGAAGGCTCGACACATAATTTCCTTGGCATACCCATGTAAGAGCATGTGCCATGTGTACATCTCCAAGTGATCGTCGGGATCCCCTCGACCATCATATGGTAGGATCGACGGTGACCTGTATTTATCGGGGAGAGGTGGCGCCATTATTTCTGCGGTAAATGGATGGTCGTGTGTGCGGCTAGGCGTGATTCGACGTTTACCACCTCGGTCACTCGCCCTATGTTCTTTTTTAGGCCGACGACGTTGCCCGTGAGTTTTTACTCTAGGTTGGCCATACGTTCCATAATGGTGCGCGCTTTTTCTACTGAGATGGCTGAGCCAGCTACTCTCGATGCCTCTGCCCTTTGAACGTTGGGTCCGCCCCTTGCCTGCCCACCTGCCTGTACTGACCCTGAGTCTCCCGGTGGGTCTCCTCCTGGGTTCTGGGGTAGTACCTCGGGGTTCCCTAGGCCTCTCGCTATCCGGTCCTCGGGAGCACGACCCTTAGACGGCTGCCAGAGGATTGGGAAGGTCGAGGCCTAGGATGGCCTCTATGATTTTCACTGTCCCCGATTCCTTCTAGGTCATGTTGGCGGTCACCGGGGTTGTGGTTTTCAGCCATGACAGCTCCCAGCGGCCTCGAGACGTCTTCTAGAGGCGGCATAGAGTTCCTTCCGTCCAAGCGCTCAACTACGGTCATTAGTCCACGTACCAGGTCGGTTAGAGTGGTTAGTTGGGCCTGCATCTGCACAGGGTCCGACCGCGGCACGTCTGGGGGCGGGACTTCATTTCTGACCGGAGGTGGACCTTCCTCCATCCCGTCATTCACCGGATGTGTGGCGGTTTCATCCATTTGGCTACCTTGGTTGATGGCCTCAATCCTTCTTCTTGGAGGCATGCTTGCTGACTATGTTGTTGTTGGGGGTCAAACGCATGAACCAGAGATTCTGGGTTCGGTCCCCAGTGGAGTCGCCAATTGTTGACGGTGAAATCTCGTCAACAGAAATTGGCCGGATCACCTCTAGGTATCCCATTGGATTACCGGCTTGGTATTGACTGTATACTCAATTTATGCAATGAAGTGTTTGTGGTATTTTTAGAATGGTGAGCAATATGAGAAAAAAATGCTTGAAGTAGAAGAACACACAAAATTTATAGTGGTTCACTCAGTTAATGAAGAGCTACATCCACTGTAGTTTTATATTCCTTTTGAGATTGTTACAATTTATATCAACTGTTGTTCTCTCATTTTTTCTCTCTCAGAAAGCGAACCTCTTTCCTGTATGAGGTTTTGCCCCTTTTATAGCCGAGCTTCGTTCATCGGGTGGGTCTCATTTGTAGGCAGAAGCACTCAAGTGGTTTGCCTTTCTAGGCCCAGACCGTAGCCCACTAATCACTTTGTGAATTGTTCACTCAGCCAATTAGTCTCCTATTACGGCTCTGTGCGTACCTGTAACCCTTTTCTGTCCCTCGTAGGGCGGTTTAAGGGTTTGCAATTAATGCCTGCACTGCAGACATCCCCCATTTCTGCACGCAACTTGTGATGTCAGGCTTTCCCCTTTTGGGGCATTTCTCTCGCCGTCTCTGTTTGCTCAGCTTAGTCTTTCTTGGCAATTGATTTTCTCCCGAAGGATTTCCGTCGTAAGGTCGACGGTACGACCTGTCGTCGTTATGAGGAGTCGGCGTCCTAAGTTGGGCTTCCTTTGCAGCAGAAGGAAAGGGAGTCCCCAACGTCGAGGGTTGTTGCCTTTTGAGGAAAAGTAAGGCCACGTGTCACACTGTTGTTCTTCCACGCGTCATCCACATTTTCCCACACAACAATAACAAAACTAATTGTACAATTTTTAATCCCTCACCTACTTAAATTATGTTACTGGGCATGACTTCTTAAAGTTTGCACTCTTTATGGAATTGCTTTTTAAATGGAGTCTGTATTTAGCACTATTCTGGTTAATATATCACTTTTCCATGTTTGCTAGGGCTTAAAATATACAATCATCATTTATCAAAAGAGGCAAATAATTAAAGATTTTTCTTTTTTTGTTACATGATTCATTTCTTAACTTGTGAATAATTAAAATTTCTGTTAGAAAATGGAGTTTCTCTCGTAGGTCCCAACAAACTAAATTATGGAAAAGTCTCGGTTTGCAGTCGTCAGATTCATAGTAAAAATTGTTCGACATACTTTTTTTATCTGATGTTATTTTGATCAGATTTAACGGTCAAAAACTGACTTTACACAATAGGAAGGTCTTACCAGAGAAATTATCTAAAAAAAATAAAAAAAACAATAAAAAGTTTGATATATGGAATCAAGAACGAGGAAAATATCGATAATTTTGTTTATATTTTTCGATAATATCTCTAAGTTGGAACTCTATATGCAAACATAGAGGTGAAGATATTTATCCTATAATTATCAATATTTTGTTGGAAATTTCTTTAGTATGACAAAAAAAAAAAATCATCATTAGTTCTTTACTTTCTGTTATCTAATATGTATTAAAAATTATTTATTCAGCATATTTATTTAATTTGATAGGAGACAAATGCCTTTTAAAGTGCATGCCTGAATTTTTAGCTCTTACTCTTGAGTAACATTTTTTTAGTCAAATAATTATATGAGTCAAAAAGGTATTAAGTATGAATAAGGGGTAAAAATTTAAATTCATGCATTATAATGGTAAATTTAGTAATTTTCTCGTGATTTTAATCATATTCAATGATTAAAAACTGATACTACGGTAAGGAGGCCCACCAAAAACAGTCATATTTCATTAATACTCTCTAAGGGGGTGTTTGGTAGATGGATTCAGAATCATAATTCTGGATCATTATTCAGAATCAGTGTTTGTTTACAGTTATTCTGAATTATGATTATGATTATGATTCAGAATCAGTGTTTGGTTTGGATGATTCTAAATCATGATTCGAAATTTGATGTGATGTTTTAAATTAAAATCACGCATGATTCTAAAACCACCCCATCATGATTTAAGGTGATTCAAACCCCTGATTCAGAGTTATGATTTGAACCTAAAATCATAATCATGGTTCTAGTTCTAGAATCACGATTAGAATCACCCTGATTTAAATCTTCGTACCAAATGAACCCTAAATAATATTCGTGAAGGACTGGTATAATTTTCTTCTTCATAATTTTACTTGAATATCTGGATATACGCATTACACATACGAGAAAAAGGACCAAAAAACATGCACACACACTTATAAGACATCAACTCAAAATTTTCATACCTTGTACCTCTTAAATATTGTGTTGTCATGCGATACATTGCAAGACTATTAAACTGTTATGTAAAGCAACGATCTTATTTAGTACGACCCGTTTTTTTAGTCTTCTGGTAGACCACGTAAAAAATGATTTTAATTTCCTTTTTAGATGTGTTTGGGATTACTTTTGAAACTCTAAAAAGTACTTTGCACAATAAACGATGTAATTATAGTATTTAATAAAGGTGCATAAAAGCACTTTGCACATAAATCAATACACTTTTTAAGTCATTTTAAGAAGTTAGAATGACTAGCTTTTACATTCTACTTCTGTTTCTATTTTTACTTTAAGTAAAAATAATGTTTTTATTAAAAACACAATAATTATTTTAAAAGCACATCAACCCTAAACTGACCCTTCTACGGTATACTATTTAACCGTGCACGGCTGCGTAACGTAGTGGAACTTATATTATGAAAACGAATTCAACCAGAGCAACGCATGTCTTGATTGGTAGTCGAAACTACTTGTTGACGGGAGATTAAGGTCCCGTTCATTTTACCGATTCGAGTTTAGAATTTGAGTTTTGCTACAGTAAAAATCTCTCAGAAACAGTCACATTTAACTTTTTTGTTATAATATAAAGCTTTCACATAAAATCACATCTAAACTCAAATTATCAAACTAAATGGGTCCTAAGATAGATGAAGGTCGATTAAGACATGGCTAAAAGGAGCATTAATTCATAGCTAACAAGACAAGAACCACAAACGAGAAGGAAAGAATAAGCAGAAAAAAGGGTGGGTATCAATATTGAACAAAACACTGCCAAAAAAAAGGGAAGAAAACTTATGCTTTGAAGGGTTTAAACGCAAATAAGCAACGAGAGAAGAATCGAGTCTTGAGTTCTGATGGTCCCAAAGTGGCTCAAAGATGTAGCATTGGGAAGATTTCCTAAGAGAAATAATTAAAAAACGAAATGGCCACCTTAATTTCAAGCAGTAGAAAAGTTTAGGCACAAAAAACTGATCAGTGGTTATACGTAGATGAGGTGGAGAGTAGGTCAAACGAGAGAACAAAGAAGGGAGAAAAAGCTGTAAGTTTATTAAAAAAATAAAACAAAAAACAAAAAAGACTTTCACGGAAAAAAAAGCATAAAAAAATAATCACAAATTTGCACAAGAGAATAATGAAATCGACAACAACATGCTGACAAACAGATCGACTAAAGGTGGAGCATGAAAGAAAAACGACGAGTCACCCTTCATCAATTAATCTCATTCGACCGCGCAAGTTGCACCTAGAAAAGGACTTGCAACTAAAGCGCAAAAAAAGAGAAAAGAAAAGGAAAAAAAGGATCTGCAATGGACGAGAACTCAAAGAAAAGAGCAGGGAGAAAGACTAAAGGTTCCAGAAGCATGGAAGAAAATAGCCATGTTTTTATTTAAAAAAGTTTAATCATTTTATTAACTTTTTTACACTTAGAAAAAAATCTCCACGCAGACTTAAGGCACGTTTAATTCGTTGATTCAAGTTTTTAATTTGAGTTAATATGTGACTTTATATGAGAGCTTTTTATTGTAGTAAAAAAGTTAAATGTGATTGTTGTACGGGAAAACATGCTTTGACACGTCAAACAACGATAACGCTCCATGTGACCCTGCAATAACCACATCAGCAGACCGTCGACCCGTCATACCGCCGACCCCATGAAACTTCGGCGTTCATCTGACCCATATTAGGGGTCTCGCTAAGGTCGACCGTGCAAGGGCCAGCTGGAAGCTGACCGTATAAATGAGGGCCCCCCTGGGGTAACGTCTAGGTTTGGGGGATGTCTGTAATACAGGCATTAATTACGACGGTGGAAGGTTGCAGGGAGTGCAGAGCCGTAATAAAAGACTAATTAGGTGAATGAAGAGTCCAAAAGGTGATTATTTGGCTATGGGTCTAGGCCCATAAGACAGTAGGCACTCGAGTGCTGGGTCTACAGAGGAAAACCACCTCCGGAAGTAAACTTGGGCTATAAGAGGGGCAAAGCCCCAAGCTCAAGGAGGTTCTTCTTTTTTCACATGTAATCAGAGAACAGAAAAATATACACAAAAGATACAGTGGATGTAGCTATTCATTAATAGAGTGAACCGCTATAAACTTTGTGTGTCCATTTATTTAGGCATTATATTTATATTTCCTTCACCACAAAGTTTACTCAAGCACTTCGCAAGCGTAATTTCGAATATACATCTGTATTATGCCGGTAACCCTACAGGATACCAAGGGGTAACCCGGCGCAATCCTGTTGACTAAAATTCCACCGTTAACAATTGGCGACTCCGCTGGGGACCGAACCCAGAATCTCTGGTTCATACGTTTCGACCCTCGAAAAATAAGGTAGTCGGCGACCATGCCTCCAAGAAGGAGAGATACCACCGCCAACCAAGGCAGCCAGATGGAGGAAAACACCACACATCTGGCTTATGACGGGAGCGGGGAAAACCAACCCCCGACAGGAATTGAAGCTCCACCCCCAGATGTGCCGCAACCTGACCCAAGGCAGATGCAGGCCCAGCTCAACGCTCTGACAGACTTAGTGCGGGGGCTAACAACCATTGTCGAAATAGTGGACAAGAGAAACTCTATGCCACCACTGGAAGATGCCCCGAGACCCTTAGGAGCAACCATGGCAGGAAACCAAAATCCTGGTAACCGCCAAGGCGCTTGAGAAGGAATCAGGGACAGTGAACATATGGGAGGCAACCAGAGACTTCAACTGTCTCAATCTCTCGGCAACTGTCGAAGGGCCGCCAGGCACCGAGCTCAAGAGAACAGAGCGGCAGAAGACTTGTAGAACCCCAAAGTGACGCCTCGAAACCAAGGTGGAAATATCCCTGGAGATTCAGGGTCAGTACGAGAAGATGGAAACCCAGCGGGCAGGCAGGATGCACAGGGGGCAGGAGCCTCCAAAGGGGGCAGCTCCACAATCTCGACAAAGGAAGCGCGAGCCATCATACAACGAATGACGAGCTTAGAAGAAAAATTTACGGGTGATGTTGCTGGCCTAAAGAAGAACATAGGACAGGTGACAGAAGTGGTAAACGTCGACATCACTCCCAGTCGGATGCACGACCACCTATTCACCACAGAAATCATGGCGCTGCCTCTTCTAGACAAATATCGGTCGCCACCGATCCCACCATATGATGGCAGAGGGGATCCAGACGATCACCTAGAAATGTATACAGGGCACATGCTTCTACATGGGTATGCAGAAGAAATCATGTGTCGGGCCTTCCGAAACCATTTGACAGATTCTGCTCGAAGATAGTTCAGAACGCTTAAACCAAGCTCCATTTCTAGCTGGAATAAACTAAAAGAAGCCTTCTCCCTCCAGTTTATCGGAGTGAAGAAGTATGTCCCTCCAAAGCGGAACTTAACGACGATTTACCAAAAACTGAACGAGTCATTAAAAGAATGGCTTGTAAGGTACAGAGAAGCTGTCGCCGCCACAACAGATATAGCTGACCAGGAGGCCCTGATAGGGGCAATGTCCAGCATGAAGAAAATCACTCCTTTCAAAAGGGACCTAAACCGGAAGCCACCGTCGACTTACAAAGAATTCCTAGCACAAGCACAAGGATACATCAACGCCGAGGAAGCTGACGCAAACGACCCTGAACACAGGTCCAACAAAAATAAAGGAACTAAGCAAGGGTTGACTGCAAGAAAGCAAGACGGTAAAAAGTGATGAGGCAACGGAGACAAGCAACCTGCCTCAACGCCGAACCCTCCAAATGCTAAGAAGCCGAGGCAAGACGAAAGCCGTAAGCCTCGACCATTCCAGAGGTATGACTCTTACCATGAACTTACTGTAGGGGTCAAAGAGGTGTTCAACCAAGTCAGACGAGGGAATCTGTTACGCCGACCCGAACCTACGGCGACGTCAGCCATAACACCAATGATTGCGCCGACCTTAAGGATGAAATCGAGCGGGTGATCCTCGAAGGAAGGCTGCAAGAGTTTAAGGTAGAGCGGAGGCCAAGGAATGACGGCCACGGCGGCCAGAATGACGGTCGACGCCGAGAAGAGAATCGACGTCCAGAGAACCGAGAACCCGTCGGTGTCATAAGAACAGTCTTCAGCAGTCCGTATATCGGAGGAGACTCGAGGAGGTCCCAAAAGGATTATACCCATGAGGCCAGAGGGGTATACCCGGAGAGGTTTTGGAATCTCTCAACAGTAAAAATAGCAAGGTACAACAGTGCTGATGTGGCATTCAACGAAGAGGACACAAATGGGGTCCATTTCCCCCATAATGATGCCTTGGTAGTAGAAGCGATAATCGGGAACCACACCGTATGCATAATCCTGGTGGATAACGGGAGCTCGGTGGACCTCTTATACTCTGATTGCCTAGAAAAAATGGGGATCCCCATGGAGCAATTAGAAAAGACATCCCGACCGTTATACAGGTTCGCTGGGGATTCTGGCATCCCCAAGGGAACTATCTGACTACCAATAACCGCAGGGGAAGAGCCTAGGCACGCCATGAAAATGGCCAACTTCGTGGTAATAAAAGGAGGCTCACAATACAACGCCGTAATTGGAAGGCCGACCCTTCAGGCGTAAAGGGCAATAACCTCCATTTACCACCAGAAGGTTAAATTCCCAACTCCAAATGGCGTGGGAGAAATGAAAAGCAATCAATACGAAGCTCGAGTCGCCTACTCCGACGCCCTACGTGAGTACGATCAACCAGGGAGGCAAGAAGCCAGAGTGGTCCATCAATATGCCATGGAGGACATAGACCCCCGAGTTCAAGAAGAGATCACCTGGTCTCAACCAATAGAGCAGCTGATAGAAGTCCAGGTGGATGAAGATGAGCCAACAAAAGTGCTGAAAGTAGGTTCAGACTTAACTCCGACACTTAGGAATGAAGTCGAGGGTTTTCTCAGAGGGAACCTGGACGTATTCGTCTGGACTCATGCCAACATGAAAGGGATCGATGCCAAAGTCATGTGCCATATATTGAACGTCGACCCCTTATATTCCCCCAAATGACAAAAGCGCCAACCAATGAATCCTGAAAGATACGAAGCGCTAAAAGAAGAAGTCGACAAGTTAATCAGCAATGGATTTATTCGGGAGGTCCACTATCCTAGCTGGGTTTCAAACCCCGTTTTGGTAATAAAACCCAACTGGACGTAGAGGACATGCGTCAACTTCAGTGACCTAAACAAAGCGTGCCCAAAAGATGGTTTTCCACTCCTCCGAATAGACCAAATGGTCGACGCCACAGCCGGCCATGCGATGCTAAGTTTCATAGACAGCTACTCCGGCTACAATTAGATCCCCATGCATCCATCCGACGAAGAGCACACGTCATTCATAACCGACAGGGGCCTTTATTGCTACAAGGTAATGCCCTTCGGTTTGAAAAATGCAAGGGCAACATACCAAAGGCTCGTGAACAAAATGTTCACCAAACTGATCGGAA